GGGCGGGGGCGGCGGCGCCACCTAGCGGGCGGCCGCGGGAAGGGCGGCCCCCTGCAGCGGCCCTAGCTCTTCCCGGCCCCTCGCGCACGCACGCACGCACGCACCCGCCTGCCCCATCCCAGACACGGCGCCCAGCCACCTGCGCACGGCCCTCGTGTGCACCGCCCCGCCTCACCCGCCACGCGCCCAGCACCTCCCCACCTCTCCAGCCTCTCATCTCCCCGGTCCTGACACCCCATCTTAGCCCACCAGTGGAAAGGGGGTCTGCACGCCCCCGGCGCCAACCAATCCCCTCCGCCGGACACCCCCAGTCCCGCTGACACCTAGCACCTCGCCCGCGCGCAGCCCGCCCCTGTGCCGCTCCCCGCGGGCAACGCAGCGACTCCTGGCTCGTCACGCTCTTGAAAAATGAGACGGGATGTAAAGCAAATCCAGTGATGTCACAGTAGTTACTTGCTACCTGGCGGCGGCCGAACAACGTCATAAACGAACGTTGCGCGACTTTAAACGAGTACGTTCTCTAACAGATCAGCGACGTCATAACGACACAACGTTAACCGGGACGACGTTAAGTGAGGAGAAGGTGTACTGCATGCATACACCCTGCACGAGCACCCAGCAACCTTTTCTCATAACCCCCCCAAGAGACTCCAATCCCACCCCTCATCACACCAGGCACAGAAAAACCTCTCTACCTACCTACCCAGAGGCCCCGAGTACATGGGGGCCCAAGGGCCCTGGGCCCCTTGGGAAGAGGGCTATCACCTGAAATGTGTGAAACTTTCCACATGTCCATCTTCTAACCCCACCCCCCCAAAAATAAATAAAAGTAGGTGCCTGTATACCTATCCCTGCCTGTACCTCCAACACCCCCACACCACTCAAACATACCAGCCCCACTGAAGACATGACACCTACAAACACAAACTCCCTCCCAGATACCTGGCACCACAAAGACATCAGTTTGAACACAACAGTACCAGAGATATCCCGCATCCCTGCACACATCCCTCACAAACACGCACATAGCACCCCACAGACAGCAGGTAAAGCCTGCAAGTGACTGCTCCGCAAAGAAGGAGAACTCCTACTAAAAATCCCCCGCATACCCAGAACCAGAGAGACACCAGTCCCAAATAGTCAGCAATGACATAATCCTTCACACATTTTTTTTATAAAAATATTTCGTGTTCCAGATCAAATCAGTTCTAAGTCACATCGACTGAGCAAAACTCAAGTCGTTCCAAAGACCGCATCGACTGGGCAGGCAGAACTCAATCGTTCTAAACACTATGTCTGGCGCTACGACCGGCGAGCATCCTCCCTCCCAGCCTCTCACCCTGGGACTTCAGATACTCCCAAATTCTTCACACCCACATATACCAGCTTCCTCTACACAAATATCCCACAGACAGCAACATCCTCTGCACACCGTCTCCCATGGACCAAGCTACAAACCTGTACCAGTGACACCCCCAATTAAGCTGACCTGGAGTCACAGGCATGACATTTTCTACAACCCAGTGGTCCCATCCATGAATGACGTGTGCCCCCGGAGGCTGAGGGGGGCATGGCGACTGCCTGCAGGAGGCTGCGGTGGTGTCAGCGGCAGGAGGGTGGGGAATGGTGAGCACCGACTGGCGATCAGCAGCTGCCCTCTGACTGCTGGTGGTGTTGACAGCAAAGGGGGGGGGGCAGTGGCAAGAGGCAGTGGCACTTCTTTCAGGGGGTGCACTGCCAATCTCAGGGGGTGTACATGCACTCGTGTGCACCCCCTACACGTCGCCCATGGTCCCATCCCTCTTGGGGTAGTGCCAACAGGTAGGACGCCTTCTCTGAGCCCCAGGGCAATGATAAGGGGCACCCCTTTCTTTCAGAAGCAGCAGTAGGGACCTCTGGAACATCAAAGGCAGCAGCAAAGCCCCCCCCTGCATATCTCAGACAAAGTGTTTCTGATCAAGAGGGTGGGCCAGGCCTGCTGCACTCGTCTTTTGAACACATTTTGAACACATGAAAGAACAATACTGCCTTCAGGTGTGAAGGACTAACTATTACTGAGCATACATTGGCTGATCCTTTGTAATAGCTTCCCTGCCCAGTCTTTTAAATTAAGCTAAACTATAATAATTTATCCCTGAATGAAACAGGTGTTAAATTATTGCAATTTAGCTTGTGTTTACCATGGGGTAGGGTGGGTAGGCAAGCACTTACAGTGGATTCAGTTGTAAAGCTCTTCCTTCCCTTACAGAGCCATATACCAGTAACTGTTTCATAGGTTCATGCCCAGTCTTTGCTGGGGTGATTTACACGGGATACTCCAGA